GGTGAATTCTATACTCATTCCAACACTAGACAAGAGGCTTCCTATATTTTAAACAGCCCTTCCATTCTTCGTGCAATTTTATAGCTTTCCTGCCTTTCTAATTCTGCGATTAGTTTTTTGAATTCTGTGTATAAAACAAATAAATACTCATTCACTCCACCGGCCACTATCAATACATTTTACCAAAATAAGCAAACTCTAAAATCCATTAACTATGTTTAACAATTTAATGAGTTTTAACTTTATTAAAGATATGTACTTTTTTTCAACAGCGAGGATAGAAAGAAACACTTGTAATAAAAATTAATAACTTGATTTATAAATAAGACCAATAAATTTTTTTTTTCCTGGGACAGACAGAGGAAGTATATTCATTTCTTAACGGAATGTATTTGCAAGTTAATTAATGTAGTAATGGGGGTTTAGATTGATTGCCAAAAGATAAGAACTGTACTGTGGTGGCTATGCCTGACACGGTAGGTACAAAATCCAAATGGAATAATAGTGTGGACGGAGATGCATGCTAGAGAACCAGACCATGTGCCTCCAAGATAAAGCAGGCTAAGACTTCCTCCTTCGTACAGAGCGTTCAAAGAGAGTGGGGTCAAATGGTACACATTTAAATGCTACATTCCAATACATGAGACAATCAGTCTTGCACAAAAATGAATCCGATGCTCCGTCGTATCTACTCTTTAGTTAGTTTGCAAATTTCCGTGAAAAAGAGATCATCCTTAAACTCGTTACAGCTCTGGAAATAATTTGGTGGGGGGAGAGAGAGAGTGGGGCTGGTTGCTTGGAACAGAGGATACTGCTCAAGACCTTGATTCTGCCTTGAAGCAACCCCCAACAGAACTCCTCCCACTAACACCTCTGCGTTTCATTGCTTTGCCTCCTCCTTCACTCTTCAATGCCTTCCCTCTCACCCTCCCACCCCTGCTATAATCGTACGGTTAACAAGATATTTGGCTCTTTTTTAAAGGTCATGAATCATGATAAGAGCATCATTGAATTTTCCCCCACCCCCCACCTGGCTCTAATCACCTTTTTTTTTTTAAAAAAAAAAACCTTTTTAAGAAGACGGCAGATTACAATGCCAATCATAGCTTCCTAAGCCTGAATGAGTTGGATCTGGGCCCCACTCAACCTCCTTTCCACCTCTTTCTTTTCCCTAAGATTTGCTCAATGTTCAAGCCCCATCGACGAAGTACAAAACCAACCGCCGCTGCCTTCGCATCTTCTCTTTCATTCATTCATATTCAGCCTTCCGCTTAATTCCCTCTCCACTTTTCAAGATTTAGTTCAACTAATCAAGTCACCCAAATAATAACAAAACAGGAATAATTTATGTGGACTTATTTAATTATTGCCTGCCAATATTACAATACCGTGATGACGGGTCCGGACACGAAGCCCAATGTGACCCACAGTCGTTATGGAATTTGGGCCTTTCATAAATGACAGAAATGAATGCCCTCATCAAACAGGCCATGCCCTTCTGCTGTTACACCATGTGGGGTGATTGAGAAATGGGACGACCCTTCCATGTCAATCATCCCCCACACATTTAATTTTTGAGGCAGCGTCCTAGTTTGGAGGACCCTGGTTACTTTGGGGGGCAGTATGGACATTTACTCGGTTTGGGAATACTAAATGAAGGAGTGAGTGAAAAGTAATGTCATTATCAGTCACTTGTACATTGATTTTCAGGAGTGAACTTTCAGTCCCTCGCAGCCGTGCATTTCTTGCATACCATGGGAAATGAAACACCTCCCTAATTGACCCCAATCATGGGAGTGAAGTTTTACGGTCTATGTATTTCCTTCTATCTTTAATCATTTCCCATTCTCCATCATTATCTTCCACGTCATCCTCAACATTGTCCTCTTACCCCACTCCTAATCTCTCTCGAGTATGAAAAGGAGGACCACGAAAAGTTTATACATAGACGAGGCATTATTTCAATTTCTTTTATAAGTAAACACACACACACACACGCGTATGTATAATAATAAATAGTACTAATACAAAATATTCGAAGCAATCCCTATATGAAATACCCTTCAGCTGGATGAGAAGTGAAGGGTGCTATTTCTGTGTATGACTGGTCAAAGGCTCAAAGCCGAAGCTTTCTTTGGGGTCTCATTAGTCTCATTTTGGAGAAGTGGGCATGTGCCGACAAAATACAAAGAAGTGCTTTCTCGTCACTGACCTCGTAAAGTTGCGTAACCCAGAGAGCCATTCTCCACACAGAATGAGAGCGACGTTTAGTTTTAATAATTATATTAGATATTAGATTAGATGATGGCACCATTCACATCTTCATCAATGTTTTTATGTTCCCCGCTTACTAAGAATAACAAGTCATCGTTTCAGTGACTTCCAGACGTAGTCCTACTATTGTTACTTGTGCTCTAAAAATCAGCCCTTGACGGATGCACTGCCACAAACAATGTCTCTCTGAAATTACTAAAATTCACTTATCGGAAGGCTCTACAGCATAAGCTGTCCGCCATAGAAGAAAATAAGGTAAGTTAGCCGTTATGGAGTGAAATAGATATGATGATCGATCATACTCAGAATCGTAATTGATCAACTATACGAACGCAATAAATTGACCAATCCAAGGGCTGTGGTGGTCGGATCTCTCAACACAATTGTCACGGATTGCACAGCTGAGGGGCCGAAAATTTTGACAAATTCGATACTATTTTAATTTCATTTGAACCCCAATATCCATTGATCGTTACTTTCTTGCTTCTAATCTTATCCCCATCACCAGTATCACCAGAATCAAGTTGATAATAAACTGCATCACAGGGAATTGCCGGATTGAGGATGTGACTTCAACCTGTTGTTATATGCCAAATCAGAATATGAGAAGTTAACGGTGACGTGGGTTACGGTGAACAGCGATGAATGTCAGGATCAGATAGGAGGAAGGAGAAGGGCAGAGTGATGAGGGAGATCTACCCCAACATATACGGCAAAAATCCAACTTGAAAAATAACTACAGAAATAGTTGTCAACATCAATCCTTTCGAGATCTAGACCACACAAGTCTCGCTCAATGGGAGAAGATCTACATGAAAACCACAGTTCCAAACTTCCAATGTAAGCCCAGAATGCACAATTGTACACTTTTTCCAGGCCAGACTAGGAAAGCATATTTCTTTTCACTTTTTCTCGTTGTCACATGTTCCAAAGATTTCATTCTCACCACCTTCTTTCACCTTTCCGGATGAGGCACTAGATCTCATGACTTCTATTTCAATCTGGCTTTGTCTCACTTTCATCCCTGAATCCTTGCAAGTTCTTTTTCCGTGCCAAATTTCTAACTTTTCTTTTTTTTCAATCAACATCCAACTTTTGTCAACTAGGCAAGCGTTGCTGCCCATAGGACTAGTTCCAAGAACGTATATTGGGCTTGAGTAGGAGGCCCATAAGCTCGGATGGTTTGTCTATGAAAAATTTACCACAAAAAAGTAATCCCAAAAAAAAAAAAGGGCCTACACGCACCGTAACATATTTGTTCATGGCAGGACAACAGAAATTTATCTGACGTGATATCATTCAATCTTTTATCGATTGATTGATATCTGAGAAGATATCATTCAATAGAATAAGGTGGATGCTTCAATGGCCCAAAAATATTTTAAAAATATCATATCCAAAAATCCCTCTTCCTCGACTTTTGTTTCCGTCTGAGATCCATGTCCGTAACAAGTTACAAAACTTTCATATCAAACAAGAATAAACGCGTTCCAACTAACAAATGCACAAATGCCTCAAAGGCGCACCACTATACCAGAAGCGAGGAACCACAGTTAAAGGCGAATGCCACTTCATTGGACCCCAGAAATCTGCCAATCGAAATCAACATCAGCCCCATTTGATATTGCAAAGCTAGTTGCATCCAAAAGGCTATTGAAGAATTTAAAATCATTACCATTGTACAATAAATTACAGTAACAGCAGCTGTGACTTGTGATCAATGCCATTGAAGATGAAGGTGCCAGACATAGGTACAAATTGCCTTGTTATTAGCTGCAAAGGAAATCGCAATTTAAGATAAAGACACAAGACGAACAATTCCAATGGCAAAATATGTAGTGGATTAGAAAGAAAAAGGAACTTGTTAGCAGTTTTTTATACTTTTACCATTTCCTTCTCCAAATAAGATATGACATGTATGATTTTCTAATCATAATAGAATAAATGTATGATTTTACCATAAAGATCAGTAGATCATATACTTGGTATATTTTATTTGGAGAACCTAATAACAAAAATGCAAAGAAATACACAACCAATGCATTAGAAAGCCTGTAAGGAAGTTCATAACTCAAAAGGAGATTTTACTTTTCGAGATGCCAATTTGGAGTCCAAAGCTCCCTTTAAAAGGTTGGCTTGTTTTCATGATCAACAAGTCGTCTTCTTTTCTTTTCTTTTTTTAATAGTCAGACAGCATGATAGGATTCAAGATAAGTAGAAAGAAAAAAGCACATAAGTCTTATTAACATGTGAAATCAAAATCTAACTTTATAATATTAATAAGAGAACATAGAACTGATAGAAGAAAGTAAAAGAAATAAATCTATCAAGATAATATAAAACAAGTACCCACGCTTAGAAGAATCTCCAAAGGGCCAAAAGTCTCAAAAGTCTGTTTTATGCATGATATGCCTGCTTCTAAGTTGCTACGTATATTTATAATGCTAACTATAATATAAAATAATGAATAAAATCTAGATAACTAGATAATTAAATAAAACTGAATAAAATCTCCTAAAATCTATATCTATATAAAATACTAAATAAAATCTAAAAAACTAAATATCCTAATAAAATCTAAATAACTAGATATCAGAATAAATATATAGATATCTAAACATATATCTGAATATCTATATAAAATCTAGATAACTAAATACCTAAATAAAATCTAAACAATATTATTAAATAGAAAATATCTAAAATAAATTAAAAATAATATCTATTTATAATATCTATCTTCCCAAATCAACCATTATCTCAAAACTCTATCACAGCGCTGTTCACTAAGGGTAGTACAGATTTGACCATCAGCTATATAAAATTTTATATCTATAAGCGGGGGAATGACAGTTAATACCGAAAGATCAATTTAACAATGGATGCCAAAACATTCTGAAGGAAGATGAGTTGTTATTAAGACTCATATTTGCAATTGTCTAGATAGATATTTGCAACTCATTTATCTTTAGAATTTTATTTTATTTTTTTTTCCCTAATCCCATGCTTGTTGCATGGACAGATACCTTCAGTTATTATTGAATTTCATAGAGTTAGCAAAGGAAAACGGAAGAAGGGTACTTTAAATTTACAAAATCAAAATTTACATGTATTTATGAATAAACCCAGCGCCCAGACACAGGTTATTCCAAGTTCCCCTAGTCTTACCAGTTTTAACTGGTCCAAATTTAAGTGATCCGATGGTGTGATCCAGGCTGTCTACCTTGCCGAGTACCAGTTCATTCTCTAGTCGGAGTTATAAATCATTGCTTCATGTGAAGTTTCCATAGCTTGAGCTCGTAAAGGTTCATAAAAGACTGAACTAAGACTAGAGGTCATTCCTTGTATACAAAGAAGCGTAACATTAGAAGCAAAGTCGATCACAAACTTCTCTTCTCTTCTATTTTCTATTTCTATTTTTTTCTATTTTTGGGTGAGTGAATTTTATATGTAGCAATCTTTCTTGACAGGACCAAGCTTTCAGGGTTCATTAGATTTGATTTTCCCAAATCACACTAGATTTGACAACATAAATATAGAAAAACTATCCCAGACCAGGGGCAGATGGTACATTTTTCCCGAAAGTGCCAAGCTTTCAGGGTTTGCTTAGATTAGTTTTCCCAGATCACATTACTTTGGACAACATAAACATAAAAGTAGCACCATCCCAGGCCAGAGGAAGAATTGCAAACCTTGATTACTTCTTGCGATGCTATTCCTCCAACCAAAGCAGCAACAGCATGGAGCTCTGAAGCACCAAATCGGCACATCTCATTTACAAGGTCCTCTGCCAAAGTGGCACCATTGCATCCCAAGTCATTGAGCAGGCCACTAGCTGTACTCTTCAGTCGAGGTATGTCCTCATCCATAGCACTGAAGAATATCAACAACAAAAGCAAGAAAGACCTTCAAGGAAGAATCCTGATATGATATAGCAGGACTATATTAAGAAATTCATGAAGCAGGTCTTGCCTGTCATACTGCCCAGGAAAACTGTTATAGTTAGCAGCAAAACGGTCAACAGCTCGCAGCAAAATATAAATTCCAACAGCAGTGCTGCACACATAAAAACAGGAAACCACTATTTCAGCAAGTATCCTCGCAGACTAATTCCTTTTTTTTTTCTTTTTTTCCTTTCCTTCTCCAGAAGCATCAGTAATAAAATAAATATAACCTGTAATCCTCATCAGTTAGATACTTTTGTAATTCAGGTAGGTTTGGAGAATTAAACTCATCTTCAATCAGGCGAAACCTGCAAATCTACAAAATAAAGAATAGTGTCCATATGAAGACTCAAACAAACATTCTGGTGCCTTCAATTACTCCCACAAAATTCACCAACTTCAGTTAATATTAGATAAAAGAGGCTTTGGGGAAAAACATATCTAGTTGTAAGATACTCATGCATTTACCGCATCCACATCATCAGTAACAACAATAATAAAAATCTCAACCAAAAATTAACAAAAGGAAAGCTCAGAGCATCTTGCATTCATATTGTTTTGCCCCCAAAATGAGACTGTATATTATACATGTAGATTAAAGAGCCTCAGAAAGCATGGACATTTGATCACAGAACAAATTAAGCATGTCAGGTTTATAATACTTTCATCATTGCAATCTATAAACAATTTGACTATCTGCACTTACTTTGAGCTTTCTGGCGTTTTTACAGAAGCTTTTGATTGTTGTCCTTGGTATGCTATTTGAATCTCTTCCAATTTTTTTTAAAATACTTCTCACCCGTCGTTCAATTGCAACAAAATCAGCTTCAGCCTTGGCTTGATAGATATTCTGCAAATTCACATACTGCCTGCAGGAGGGTAGATATAATTCTGGTAAATAATTCATCTTCAAGAGAAAATACAAGTTACCTGATACGAGATTTGGCTACTAACTCAGTAGAAGATGTCATATCTGGTATTGATCCTTCAAGGGGTATCTCCCCACCACCTTCATTTGCAATGAATTCCTGGGCAGGATGATAAAAAGTGTTCCATTATGTAACTGAATCTTGAGAAACCAAACAGTCAGGAATGTAAATTGCACAAAAAAACGAGAAAAATATATTTCCCAGGCTTTAATCAATTACCACTTGACACTACAACATATTACAGTACTATATAAGATATAAATGCAGCTTTCTCAAGAGGGGGGAAAAAAATCAAAGCAGCAATTCCAGAAGCACCAACCTTCAGAGCTGCCACCAACACCCAAAAATCTGATGACTTAGAATCCACTTCAGCAGAGCTATCATTAATTATCAGTTGCAAATCTGCACCTGAAAAGGTATATGCTCATTGAATTTTAGTCTAATATAAATTCAATTGGAAATAAGGCAGTAAATGTTCAGACCTATTCAAAAATTCTGACTAAAAATCAAATTTTTCAGAAACAAAAATCAGGAACTTTTAAAGAGTTCATCATAATGACCCTCACCTCCAACCAAAGGGTAGTACATGCTTCCTCAACAAACATTCAAACTTTAACATAGTCAAAGTTCTCAAGATAGAGAGACAATTTTCATTATGAAAAAGCCCATGATTTCATAAGAAAACTTAAAAATTAGGAGCTCAAAACCTGCATAAGTAACAATAGTCCAACTGTTCCTTATTTTGCTCACCTCCTGCCCAAACAATTCAAGGATTTTATAAAACTTAAACCAAGAGTTCACAAAGAAAGTATAGGGGCTGTTTGAAACTATTTTTATTTTATCGTTTTGAAAATTGGTGTTTTGTAAAACATGTTCTAAAAATAAAAAAATAATAAAAATAAGTGTTTTTCTCATTCTCTCTTGTCCTCCAAAACAATAATCACGGAACACCTAAAAGTTGTTTCCATTTTTCTGTTCTCCAAAACAATATTTTATTTTTTGTTCTCAAAAATACTTTTTGAAAGCACGTTACCGAACAGATTTTTTTGTTCTTTTATTTTACTTTTAGAGAACAGAAAACTGTTCTCAGAACAGGTTTCCAAACAATCCCTATACTGCTGTGCCATCTAAAACTAATTTGTGGGATGCTAAGACTCCCTTGATAATAAATTCAAGGAAATGGAATCAAGGACAAACTAGCTTTTATTCATTCTGAAAGTAACTAAATGCATCTGACTAAACTCGAAAATTTTTCAAGAATATAAAAGTAAAAAGTTTAGTCTCCCAAGTCTCAACATTTGAAGGACCCCCCATAATTATGGAAGATTACCCAAGTAAAGTTTGATCCTGTCAACAGATAATTAAGCTCCTTCTCAAAAGAAAAGGAAAGTGCCAGCATTTAGTAAGGCAGATATTGGCTCACGAGAAGGTTACTGTAGCAAATACTTACTAATTCCTCGAGGAGCAAAGACTTTGAAAGAAGCCTCAATGGCTTCTTTATAATTATCTTCATCTTGCCCAAGCATTCTAGCTTTGATAAGCTCCTAAGTTGATCACGTTGAAAGCTAATCATATAAGTAGAACACCAGTATAAGAAATAGCTAAAAAGCAGAAGCAAGCAGTGAACCTTAAACTCCCTTTTCTCTTCCCTGGTCGATGGAAGTGCACCACCATGGCTTTTGGACCACTCATCAGCCATCTTGACAAGAATAATAACATATGGTATGTGTTTATGGGCTACAGGATCTTGAACATTCAACTCAATGCCTTCTGCAAGACTACAGTGGCCAAATCATGCAATGAGAATTTGAAGCGAAAAGACCACCTCTATGCTCTCAGCAAAACAGCCATAGAAGTATGAGGGGTAAAAGTTTTAAAGGTTAAACCCAGATATTAGGGTAAAAAGGAAATCTACGGAATGAAACAAAGAACTCTGCACCTCTTGAGCTCAGGCCATGGACTATTTAATCGGAGATCATCCAGAAAATGCTCAGGCTTTGACTCAATCACCGTATGTTCCTAGTAAAACCACCAAAACAATAATTACCCACTTAACTTTAGTAAAAAAAATATTTTTTTTAAATTCAAGTAAGTGTCAATGCTTTGTGGCACAAATATTTTCAGCTTGAAGTAGAAAAGCAAGTTATCCAACTTGACAATCCATTATTGCTATCCTAACTTCCATTTCCCTCATTATAATTAGAATCAATTGCATATTAGCCACGTTGCTTTGTTTGCTCTCTCTTTTACATGTCAGCTGTCAATATAAGATCAATGTAACAACAATGCTAAGAATTATTGTATGTTTCCTCATGCAAATAATTATCTAACCATTCACCAAACTAGAACATGATGTATTTGATGTTGTGAAGATAACAAAGTGTTTTCTATTCGCCTGCAACACAATACCTTCAAACTGATTCGAACAAACCCTGCAAGCCCATAAGAACGAGCAAATATCAGCATAACATTTGCCTCCCTACAAATTCGATCAAGCTTTACCATTGAATCTTCCGCAAGCTGAAATGTTGATTGAAGAGCTCCATTTAAGATATTACACTTTATATCAATAACCATCGCAAAATACTTATTTAAACCATAGATTGTAGTAATTATATGGCATGGTTTTTTGTCAGCATTTTTATACAAGCATACCTGTGTGGCAACTACTAAAGTAAACTGAGAAAAGAACGATGGATTTGTCTCAATTAATTCCTCAGGATACTCTTCTATAAATTTTGCTTTAACTGCATCATTCAGCTCCTGAAGAAAATAGCATACACATTTTGCTTTTGACAGCCCAATGCTTGAGTCATCCACTACAAATAAATACAAGACAAAATAAGGAAAAGTATATATAAAGAACAAAAAGAAGTAATAAGATGTTACTGTACCCATAAAATTGTTTCCAAGATCACCCTCTTCAACTTTAGATCCATCAACTACAGTGATGCTCCCAATCCCACCAAGTACAAGATTTTTGAGAGTTTCAGAACCCGTAGGACCACAATTAAGTAAGCAAATACTAGATTTCTCGAGGGATGCCTGTCCCTGCTCACCCCATATTCTGTATTTATCAAAGTACAATTAAAAAAGTGTTGGGATATTTTAAAAGAGAACAAAAATACAGGATGATGAGCAGATAGATAATTTAATTTCGCAGTCTGAAGATATTAGTTCCACAAAAAATTAAAATTTGAAACTATTTCATCATACGGACGCAAAGAGCTGGAAATTAAGCAGAGAAATCAATTGTACGAGGGTAGATAAAAGAAAGCACTAAAATCAGAGATATGGGAAATCAAGTATTCAGCCTTCTCCAGTAATGGGTACAAAGGGCAGCTATTTTGCTACCAGTAGGAATCAGCACATATATTTTACAAGCAAAGATTTATTACAATCACCTCATCTCAGCTTGATCAAATCATCAGATTATCAAATAACTGATATCTTACCTAATTTTACGAGACAGCAAACAATATTGAACTGACTTCCAGCCAGAAACATTCTACAAAACCGTTACAGTGTTCATTATAAATTTCTTCATTCTTTCTTCCTTGACAAGTACAAACGATATAAAGTATCCAAACTTAGAAGACTAAAAGGCTTAGGTTTCCAAAGAAAAAGAGAATGGAAATTTTTCGCATGCAGTGTCTATGAAGAGCGAGGGAAGACGGAATATGAAGAGTTGATAGCTTTAAGTAGGTTCAAGCACAGAAAGTTAGGGCGAAGTGGAAAATTAACAAAACGTCGGAGGGCCAGAGAAGAAGAAGAACGATAGGGAGAAGGAGAAAGTTAGAGGCAGCACCTGAGCTGGCGATCGTATTTAACCTTGGGTTCGGCCATTGTTGGGAGCTTATTTTCGCCGGCAAACACTACTGAGCTTACTTAGAACGCTGTGCGTGATTGGATTGCTGGAGAACTGGGCCAACTTGAGACTGAGGTAGGATCCTCCTCTGCTCCAATGCTCCTCAATTTTCATGCGGTCAAAAAAAAAAAAAAATTAAGCGGGACGTCCGGTTCGAGATCTAACGACGTCGTAATATCGTCTCTACAGAGCACAGACAACTGGGAATCCTGTTCTGTGCGAAAGACGAAAAGCGACAGTCGATACGAGAGATGGTGACACGTTGAGCGGTCGCGGAACTTTGGAGTTATAAAAGCATTGAAATTCAGATGCAATTTAAATTTAAATTTGTTATCAATTTTTCAGCTAAAATATGATAAAGTGATTTTCACACTTTAGCATCACACTAATTTTTCAAAAAAATAAGGAATACTTCAAAAATTTTATCCACGTAACCTATTGAATCGTATTTAGCAATTAAAAAAACGTGTGGCTGAAAACTTAAAATCCTTAATCACTTGGCTATAAGTACATTGTTCTAAGTATTGCATGAAGCTTAAAAAATACTCATTAGTCATGATTTGCATGACTTCATATAAATTTTATTATAGTTGGCGGGAATATAAATTTTGTTACTTATACAGTGACAGAACCGCATATAATTGAGGGGGGCATATGCCCCTCACTTGAAAAAAATGACATGTTTGAAAGTATGAGTTTTTATATTTTGTAATTTGTACATTTTACTTATGATACTTTACACCCTTTTATTTTTATATTTTAAATTTTAAATTCATTTCAATCTTATTTTTTTAACTCAGATTTATTTAAATTTTTAACTTAACCTCATAAATATTAACCCACAATTTCACTATACCTAAATACTAATATTATTTATTAATTGTTTAAAAAATAAAAAAATCTAATATGACTAAATAGACTCACTTCTCGTCCTAAATACTTTTCAGGGACTAGTTAAAAAAGTAATGATAAATAATGAAGATTCAAAGCTCAAGAATGAATTGGGTGAGTGTTTTTTGCTAACTCGCTGCACTTATGAATTTACAATTGAAAACTAGATAGGAAACAAAGAAAAAAAAAACAAAAGAAAAATATTTGATTTGAAAGAGACAGGAATGTCTTTCTTTTACTGAGGATCCTAACTCCATCAATGCCCCCTGACTTAGAATCCTGGCTCCGCCATTGCGTTGATTGCTTGTTTGAAAAAAAAAAATTGTTTCTTCCCCTTCTTGGACAATGCAAGCTAAATTTAAGGTGCAAAAAATGCAAGTCTCTACTTGGATAAATCTTCTAGCAGTCTTGCGTCCATCCCAAGGACGTGCCCACATTCTGGGTAGCGAAGGCAATTGTGTTCGCAAGTTAAGAAAAAATTATCCAAAGTCACCTTAAAAATTTTAGTTGCTTCCTTTGAAAAATTTCAAATGCCCCCATAATTTTAAATAGTTCATTTGTCTCCTTAAAAAAGTTTACTTTTGTTATTAAAAATTTGATAACTTAAATCTTATCTATATAGTAGCAGAGGGAGAGGGACTAGCAGAGGTCGTGGCCCTCCAATTTTTTAAAATTTTATTTATATTATATAAGTTATATATTTTTAGACCCTCTAAAATTTATAAAAATTATATAATATATATATATATATATTAAATTTTGATTCTCTTCATTCTTAAATCCTGACTCCACCCCTGCATCTTTATACTATATATTAAGTAGGAATAGTTTTAGAATAGAAGAGTAATAATTTAATAAAATATTTCGCTTATAGAAAATTTATCACAAATTAATTCTCTTATGTAGAAAAGAGATATATATATATATATATATATATTAATTTAATACAAATAAAAAAACATGAAACTAATAGACTGAAAAAAAATTTTATAGTTTTTTATATAAAGATAATTTTTTACTATAATTTTATGAGTTATGCATTGTTTATAGTATTTAATTTTATTAAATTAAGACTTTAATATAATTTAATAAATAATTAAATTTATATTTTCAATAAAATATTAATATTTACTTTAAGATAAATTATGCCCATTGACTTATTTTTTTGGGCTTGTCACTGGTCCGTCTTGGCAAGTAAGAGTGTACATTGGTTGAGTCGGGCCAAGCTTCACCCTAACCTAATGCCCAACCCTATGTACACATTCAAGCACTGGGCTGCTCAAACACTCAAGTCAAGTTTTGGCTCAATGCTTGAATTAAAAAATTATTAAACAATACAAAATATAATTAAAATTATTTAAAATGGATTATTTCTAACAAAATATTAGAATTTAAAGTACTAAATTTTTAAATTGTATATAATTTAAAATTATTTATTATTTTCACATGATATAAAGTAAAAAAATCAATTTTAAACATTTAAATGATTATAAAAATTGAAATTATAAAAGATATTCATGATGAACACAAAAAATAATATGATATACATGAGAATTAAATAAAAATAACATTATAAAATAATTAAATTTTGATAAAAAAATAAAATAAAATAAAATATTTTGAGTATGATAGGGTTAGGCTAAGGTTAACCCTGACCTGGTGCCCTGCTCGAAGCTCGACCTTGTCAATTTGACTAGCTGGAGCAAGACCAAGCTTTCAGGCTACTTGAACAGCCCTACTGGCAAGTTCTATTTAGCATGCACTACTTTATGAACAAAGCACAAAATCATGCAACTAATTTATCAGAAGCCTATAATAAACTATGGTTTATTGGTTGAGAGCAGTTCATCACAGGGCCATTATTTTATCCCAAAAAACTAACTAAGTGGTGTAAGGTCTCCCTTATTAATCTTCAATTAACTTCAAAATTCAAGGTAATTAGGGGATTGTTCCCAAATTACAATTATCAAGATAGTAAAATTTATAATTTAGGATTTCAAGTTTTTAAAATTTAAGTGCCTGTTTGGATAGGTCAAAATAATCAATTTTGCCCCCCAAACCACGGCTTTAAGAAAAAATATCCAAACACTCTTTTTTCAAGAAGTCGATTTTGCATCTATAACGCCATTTTGGGATAAGCTCATGTTAGTATATTCTCATTATCAATTATTACTATGGAACCTATTATTATTTGTCTTAATATTAACCTCCCAAATATATTCTTGACTGTGTGGCTTTACAAATTCAAAACCTTCATCATCTTCTTCCTCTAAATCTCAAACTATGATTAAGTGCAAATCTTCCTTCAACGACAGTGTCCAAGTTTGACCTTCCTCTTTGATTTGTTGTGTCCACTGTCTACAATCTTTAACATCATCCTCCTTGAGTTGCGATGTCTTCTTACTTACTTATTTTGGTATGTTCTCTTTCGTTTGCTATGAAAACCTTTCTAACTGTGTCTTTTTCATCATCTTATCCCTACTCCATGCTTTTGCCACAAAGTCATCGCCTGGGGTATGCATTAAATTGTTGCACGTGTCACCCTCTTCTTAATAATCTCATTCCATTTTGAAATGGGTATTAAAATAAGAAGACAAAGATAAATCCTTCTTTTCTCATTCTTGTTAAATTGTATTTTCATCTTTCATTAAATTTACTTGAACTCATACATATTGATTTATTTGTTTACATTGATTGAGTTTTTAATATTATAATATAATATAAGTTAAATACAATACTTTACTTGTTAAATAAAGTATAACAAATTTAATAACATTATATATATAACTTTATCAATATTTACATTTTCAAAAGCAAAGTCTTTTATGCTAATTTATGCATCAAAAATTGATTTTAAGTAACCACCCAAACATCTTCAATTATATCAAAATTAATTTTATAAAAACAATATTCAAACATGATCACGTTATAATATTATCATTTATAATCAAAATTAATCACATTAATCAAATTTTTTGTGATCAATTATACTCAATTAAAATTCAAACAGACCCTAAAACTCTCTAAAATATTTTTACAAGTCAAAAATCAAAGTTTAATTAGCATACAGAAGTATAGGATCTCAAAACGAATCAAAACATTAGCATAAAGGTTGAAAATAACAAATCAGTACAGCAGAGAGGCATATGCAATGGCTTATCATACAAGCGTCGTAGCTTGTATGCTTTTGTGCCATGCATCGCAGTACATTACACGTTTTTGACAACTTAGATGCTATTATTTAACAACAACAGAGACAAATTTTTGATGTACCCTATTTCTTTGTCCAACATCCGATTAAGGTAATCTAAATGTTTACAAAAAGCTTTCTCCTAACTTTAGCTAATAACACTGATTTCACAATTACATTATTTCTCAATCAAAAATTGAACACCCATTTCATAATTATCTCCTTTTCACAATTCAAACACATCTTTAGTGCCCCTATTTTCCTATCAGGTGCCAAAACCCACAATTACATCCTAAATCACACTTAAAGGACCAAAATAGACCTGTGCAATAAACCATATCTCATAAATAACAAATGCAACACATTTTTAATATTCAACCCCTTAATTTCAAAAACAAAATGGGAGTTTCAATCACATATTCACCAATCAGTCATCATCAATCACAAATTATACTCATTCCTTACTTGTACTGGTATTTTGAATTTATTATAAATTTCACAATCATACATATACCATGCTAAGGCCTAAAATGCACAACAAAAATATAACAATCACATAATGTAAGTAAGTCAAAACACGAGTTCTTCCTAGTTGACAATATCATGCAAGATTATACACATCAATAGTCTAAAAGAAGATAAGGCCTACATATAAGATAGAAATCCTATGCCTCAAGTTGTTTTCCTCTGTCTCATCCTATTAAGCTAATTCCTGTAATATTGTAGATAATGAGATGAGTACAATCACTCAATAATCAAGATCCATATGACTTATAATAATGCATGTTAATTAATTTAAATACAAGTGGTATAGATATCAAACTCAAGTCAAATCAACATATGTAAGCACATATTTTCCCTTTGCATCATTAATGGCATAAATTCATAAGATAATATCATAAAAATCAATGTTCATAATAATCTAAGATTAATCATAAGATTTCATCTTAAGGACACAACACAGACAATCATGTACCCATTTATCATAATATGCACGATCACACCTTCTTTATATCCTCCTTATACCTCTGACACGAAATTGTAGGCTTTAATATATTGGGATCGTTTATGAACTGAGAATACCCTAACCATTCATGTGTAAGAGGCTACTCGACCAAGATTGCTTAACTTACTTGTGAGTCACGATCTCCCTCATTTCTCACACCATAGGGTGTCATTTTTTCTAGACTAACTTTTTAATTGAACAAGTGGAGTATTAGCTAGGCTCGAGTCCCTCATTAAATTAGTGGGACAATTTCTCGTTGAACAAGTAGGACGATAATATAAACAATTCAATGAAACCATATAACACAGATAGAAGCCTTACCATATGTATTTAACTATATAGCATTGATAGAAGTCTTATTATGTGGATTTAATTTTGCACTCTTCTTTGTAGGAAAACTCCCGCCTTTCAAGATCATGCAATGCATAATAGTGCAATATTTTCAGGCATGTAATCGCTCAAAGTTCAGGCATGCAAAACCTCATCATTGTACTCATCTCATATATGAACATCACATTAACACACATAATTAAATTATTGAACTCCACTTTACTCTATCTCATCAAACTCCTCAACTACACATTTTGTTGAACTCCACAAATATCACATTATTGAACTTTACAAGCACTACTATATTGAACTATTCACACATTAATCATTGAACTTTACTTAACACAAAATCATTGAACTTCATAAGAAGTCACATTCATTGAACTCCAAATGAAGCACGTCATTGAACTTTATAAAATCATTATAGTGGATTTTTAAGTAAGTCATGCCACAGTTGCATTTTACTCAAATTCACACATTCCATTTATCATGTATCAATTAATGAATTAATTAACATACAAAAGCACGAAAAAGAATTCTCTCAGTTACCTTAAACCTTTGAGAGGTCAAAAATTTACCTCTTAATTTCACACTTCCAAAGTTTCACAAAACTTGAATGGTGCCAAATATACCTACTCTACATTTAACCACAATATTAATTATCAATATCCCTTTTAGATAACTTTCACTATCTAATTTAACATTTATTCTCTCTTAAGATTTAAACCCTTCACATACAAAGGTATCCATAGGGTTTCTTAGCTTCCTCTAACTTCCATTAGCTTCATTGAACTCCCAACTAGCCATTAATGAAGTCACATTGCTTCAACCGCCTTATTAATGGTGGAATTTTGAATATTTATGACCTCTAACAACTAGAAATGCATAGAGACATAAATGTTAAGTTTAAATAGCTCAAACAACTTTTATTAACTTTATTTAAGTCGATAGGTTTAAACTCATAACCTTTATAGACTGAAAATCATATTTTTTAATCAAACCCTAACTCCCATCATTAAGAAAAATGGAAGAGAAAGAGATATTTAAGCTTAGAGAATTTACCTCAAATGTTTTGAAGTTATATAATACTCCTAATGCCTCAATTCTTTAAGCCCTATCAAAGCAAAGTTGCTTGCTCTTCATTTTTTTTCTTTTTCCTCTTCTGGTTTTTTGTCTGATTCGCGTATTTCATATCAAAATATTTGGCTATACACCGCAGCACATGGCATAGAGAGACTCATTGTTGACTATTTAACACACGTGTGCCGTGGCAAATGAATCAAAGCCGCAGTAGATGGAATAAAACTACTTCCCTCAGATTTCTCCCTTTTTCATATTTCGAGTGACCGAACTTCACTTCGACCTCGCATTTAGGGCTGAAATTATAACTAAACGCACTTGTTAGATCTTTCTAACCACATACCTTACTAAATTACTTAATCACCCTTATTAAGCTTAGTTAATTGGATTTAAATTTTTAAGATGTTACAAGTAGGGTGTATAAAACCCTTGTTTATATAATCAAGACTCTCCTTAGGTCTCTTTAGTGTGAGACGTAATAGCTTGGCCAATTTATGACACATCCTTTATGAGTTACCCACAAAAAAGGGCATAACCGAGTAGGCAAATTTAAATCTAACTTTGATACAAGACAGTTACTCTCTTCTCAAAAAGACTAGCTTAATAGGATATACAACGCTCTCTTTTATATGATCAAGACCCTTCCTAAGTCCTTTCAACGTGAAACATAATAGGCTACTTAAGTGTATGTTTGGATATGACTCTAAAATTTAGATAGCTCAAACCTTAGTTTAAGTTTAAAAAACTCATTATATTTTGTTTAGTTTAAAAAAATTTGGAAAGAGCTTTTTATTCAAGAAGCTTGGCTAGACAAAAAGCTTGCGAGTGACTTACGGCGTTGTGTCAATCACAACTTGTTAGCTATTAATGCTATTTACATTTTCCCACCGATTAATTACAATCATGTCCCTTGTCCACTCTGATTCTCATTCGTGTTTTGTGAATAATTTCAATCTCTACTGTTTTTATTTCAAACTTAAACTCTTTATTTGGCTTGTATTTCAAGTGTTTTCTAATAAATTTTTTTTCTATTTTCTCAAGTACTTATAGACCTCAATAATTAAATCTAAAATGACTTCTTTACTATGTGCACAATTGCACATAGGGTTATTTTAGTTTTTCTATAATTTATTAATTTATTTTAGAATTTTGTGATTTACAAGCAATAAATTACAAATGAACTCTTTTTAAAAAATATAATTTAACTTTAATATTTTTCATTAACAAATCAAATTAGTCAAAAAAAAGTAAAAAAAAACTCATCTATTTTTATCATCATATATTTTAAGTGACTTTTGAATCAAATTATTTAAAATAAATTTTAATTTATCCCATCAACTTTAACTTATAAAAAAATGTATACATAAACCACTTTACAACAACTAAATTTTCTACTAATCTCAATTGATTTTTAACCTCAATTGTGAAATTTTTAATCCAAACACACCTTTAAATCTGGTCAAAAGCTCCTTACACCTGTTTTCCAAACGAATCCTAAATCGGTAAAATGAATTATACAAAGAATTTCACACTTACGGGGCAAATCGCAATACCAAGATCAGGAAGAGAGGAACACTACAGCTGACATGAAATACGTAAGGGCTGAAAACCAAGTACTAGCAGGCTACAAAGTTACTGCTATTCACCCTACAAGAAAATGCGTGCTAGTGATAGTAGCATAAAATATTTCTAGGCTTAGAACTTTCAAGCAAAGATGCTAGGAAAAATCATGTATGTTTACCGAAACTTCTTCCATAAGTTAAACTGCTTAAAAGCAACCCTGAAATTATATTTGGCCATAGACATCTCTTGACATTATATTGAAGCCAACAAAATGTCATTAAGGTCACATCTAAACATTAGCAGCCACTGTTTACTTTGTAAACTGACAAAATAGGAAATTCAAAGAATGCGTACAACATTAGCCAAAAAACTGTGTCATGTAAACCTACACCGTACGAAGAGCATGCCATCATAATTTAGAAGCTAAACCAGCTAATTTGTTGTCTCCGTAGAATATAATTATTTACATGCTACAATAAACAATGAGCTGCAAAAAATGGTAAGATAATTTTCCTAATAAAAATTATTTATAAAGCAAAAAAAAAATCAGACACGGTGAAAGAATAATAAGCACTTTGGAACCCCTTGCATGGCAATGAAGCACGAAGATGCTTTCATTTATCAAGATAAAGGTTTACTAAATCACTACTTCTTAGACATCAGATCACCATTTCAAACCAGCCAAACAAACCTTAACTTCCTTGCGATTTCAAAATCAAGCAAGCAGCTGAAACCACCACAATACAGAGCCGAATGAGCCGCAGACGGGTGCTGAGTTAGCTCACTAAGTCAAAGAGCAAAGTTATGACCCACGGCAACCTTGATGCGAGCATCTCAAATAAGACATGAATTTCCTTCAGCCTCTCTTCTTATCACCAGCCTAAGCAAAACAAATCATGCCTTGAAAAATGAGGCAAGAACAAAGTCAAGTGAAGGATTTTGCGGTCAGCATTACAAGCACAAGCTTTGCAACTTCGAAACATCACCCGCTTCAACACAAAATAATCATAAGTATCTGGCATATAACATGTAAATGTACTAAATTAGACTTCCAACACAAATTCTGGGTGTGCAACTGAAGTCATGAAAAGGTTAATAAACAATGCCATCGTTGCATTTATAACTTTCAAGAAGTCCGCGAGGATATCTTTCTTTCCTTTCCTATCAGGAGTACATCACCCAACCAAAATGCCAATTTAATTCCAGGCGCCAATGCTCATAAATAAACTATGAATGGTGCCGTAACCCAAAAAACAAATACTTGACATGAAATTGGAAATTCTTATTATTAAATGAAGTTTCATCAGATAAATTTGTCCCGCATCAATGAACAAAGTGCCAAAAAGGGCACAGCCATCTGCACATCTAAACTGTTCTGCTTTCTACAACAACCGAATAATCCGAGAACTCTCAACAGAATGTAAACTAAATTCAATTAGCAACAAGAATGTCATTGCCAAATGAATCAATAATCAGATCAGGTGAATCCGGAGCGGGATTCGAAGGGCTAGTGGTTATATACAAGACAGACTTGACCGCCGTGAGTTTCTTTCTTTGCGGACACCGAGGACCAAAGATCCTCCCGACGAAGCAAGGAAAACTATCACCGACGATGATCTGAGATTGACCAGCGGTTGAGCGAGGAGAAGATGGAGGTGTAGCGCGACGTAGAGAGATCTGGCAGAGTGAGTTGAGCCTGTGCGATTTAGCGCTAATCCGCGAGTCTCTCATTCGGGCCAGCGCACCGGGCTTAAGGTATTTCTGAAACTGCTCAGCTCTGGCTGGGGGCGACTTGGCGAGGGCTCTGGTTCTATGGTTCATGGTGGAGTGAGGGAGAAACTTAGAGAGAGAGGGAGATTGGAGATCGATGATGGAGAGACAGGTGGAGAGGGAGGGAAATTAGGGATTTTAAGATTGGCGATAAAAGAGGCGGGAAGTTAAGCCGCGGAGGGGAGGGGAGAGGGATGACAGGAGAAATAAAGAGCGGGTTGAGTGAAAGTTTCAAAAAACATGCTGGCTTGCTGAGCTTGAGATTCGAGACCTTTTGGCCCCGCAGCCCGGCTGTTACCCGCAGGTGACGCGTGTCAATTCGGTCTAAAAATTAAATATTTTTTTAATTTTATTCTCATCGCATGCCCATATTTTAATAATATATTTCTTTCACACAGCATTTAATAAAACGTAAAAAAATTGTAATAAAACTTTGATGATACATGTTAGGAAAAAAGTAGGGATATGAAGCTTTATTTTTTCAATAAATAATATATAAAAAATTATATATCTTGATTTAATAAAAAACAAACAGAAACTTCATTTTAAAAAAGATCACCCAAACACTCCACTGTTTGAAACTCCAATTTGATAAGCAATCATGGCTGTGAAATTCCATTGTGGAGGAAGTTATTTTAGTTCGTTTGATTAAGGTTGAAAATAAGTTACTTTTAAATAATATTAATTTTTTTAAATGATACTTATTTTGCATGCTTTATAATATGTATGTATGTATGTTATTTTATGTGTGATTACAATAATAGAAAACTGATTATTGTTTAGTTGATTTGAAATTTTATGATCTTCATGAATTTTTTATCTTATGAAAATAATTTATGATTTGATTGTCTTAAAATTCCATTTGATAATCAATTTTGTTTGTGATAGGTATTATCCAATTGAAATTGAAACACAAGAAAGATACTTAGATAAATTTGATGTGACACATTATTTGTAACCTGTTCAATTAAATGTTTCAAGTAATATAAATAAAATCTCATGTGATATTTTTTAAATTAATTTATTTCTATAACATAATGTATATTTGATCAATTACCTTTTATCTCTTTATTATCATCAATATCATAATCAATTTATACTTAATATCATATAAATGTAATTTTTTATTAAATAAATTATAAATAATATAGTGCAACCGACCTATCTAAATATTTTTCCTAAGAACAATCCTGAACTATAATTTTTTTGCCGGTGAGGCCTTGACCAAGCTATATTATTCTTTTTATCAGTTTAATAGTAACGCAGCTTTTTATTATTGTGTAAGTTGTGTAACATGCATGGATGTGTGTGTAACGGGTTTATATGTATGATCAAGGTGTATTTTTATTTTTGAACTTTACTTTAAAGAATGCTAGGTATCTTATAGTGATAAAGGAAATAATTTTATTCATGAAATATTTTTTCAAAAGTAAAAAACCCTTTTTATTTGTCAACCATTAAATTTTTTATTTGTTTTTTTGCTAATGTGACATGTGCCTAAGGCTTACACAAAATAACAAGTAAAACTCTAACTATATTCTTTAATACTAATTTGCTCTTGAATTTTTTTTAAGAGCGCTAAGTACCGTAAAGTCTTTTTTAAAGAGCATTAGGCACTTGAAATCTTTTTAAAATAAAATTTAATAAATATTATTAAAATATTAAGTATTTAAATATTTGATAATTTAAATATTATTATTTATAAATACTCATTTAAAATTTATATTTTTTTTTAAATATTAACAATTTAAATTAGCTTTTTCATAAATTTATAAATAATTTCTTATTTTTTTATTATACTGATCTCCAAACTTCTCTCATAGACAGTGCCTAAATCATTACATCCTTTGTACATATTAGAACTTACCTATGTCTTTAATATTGGTTAATTTTTTTAAAATTTTAAATCATTTTCTGTAATTTATTGTTGATTAACTAGCAATCTTTCTCAAAAAAATTACACTATCTAAATTTAATACTCTCTATGTATTGCAATGTCAGAGATAAAATTAGAAATATAATAAATCAGGACCAACAGTATGTTAACAAAAATATTTCTTTAAAACATATTTTTTACTCCATTAATGAGCTTCAAAAAAATATTTAATAAGAGAATAATAGAGATCTGAGAAAAAAACATTCCTCAATTAGTTTGGAGGTTTATTCCCTTCATGTTTAATATAAAATTATAAAATATAAAAATATTAAATTAAGTGGTATGATATTTTGAAAAAAAACGATTAGTTGATAAAAAAAATCATAGAGAATGATTTAAAAAAATTAAAAAACTCAATCAATATTAAAAATATGATTGATGTATAAAAATAGTACAAGTTATTTATAAATCTCCAAAAAACTAGTTTAAGATGTTAATATTTTAAAAATAATTTATAAATTTTGAATAAATATTTACAAATAATAATATTTAAATTATTAAAATACTCAATATTTTGATAACATTTATTAAATTTTATTTTAATAAGACTTCACTCTTAGAAAGAAACTAATCTATCACTGTGTATGGGCCATATGCAATACCACATCAGTAAAAAATGATAAAATTAAAGGTCAACTAATAGAAGGGTTTTTTGTTCTTTGAAAAATTAGTTTAGGGGTAAAATTTCTCTCCTTAGGGGCTGTTTGGTTGGAGGTAAATAGAGGAGAGGGGTTTCATTTTTTTCATTTGGTTCAAAATTTTTGGAGGGGAGGGGAGCCAAATTTTTTGCTCCCCTCCCCTCCCCTTATTTTGGCTCCCTCTAAATTGGGGTTTTTTGGAGGGAGAGTTAAATTTGTTGACTAATTTACCCTCATTATTTTTATAAAATTATGATATTGCCCTTGAAACACAATAAGACTGTCTGATCCTCATGTGTCTCACAGAAGCTCGCTGGCTTTCTTTTTCTTCCACAAGCTTGGTCCGTCTCATCCTCGTGTGTCTTCTTCTCGCTATCTCGGAGCTCTCGGTCTATCGGAGCTCTCGCCGTGCATCTGGTTTGTCGTGCTCGAAGCCCCACCGTTCATCGTCCCGTTAGGTCCTCCTCTTCAAAGCTCTCACCATGCATTCTCAGGTCAGATTCTTCCTCGCATTTAGTCGATCCCGTTAAATCGATCTACTTGATTTGTATTTGATTTGAGCTTCATCTTGGTTTTCTTCTTCATTCTTCATTCTTTTCTTTCCATTTGGACCCTGTTCTGAGATCTATGGTTGTTCTGTTTTCTTCGTCCCGTCAGATGCATGGCTGTTTTCTTCTTTGTTCTGGTTTTGTTCTTTTTCATCATTATTTTTCGACACTTTCTAGTGTGAGATAAGTTGGGTCTGGTATGGGGCAATGATAGATAGAGATTTGATAAGAGAGGGACCAGGCCAGGGAAGGGAAAAGCCGGGAGGGAGATTCTTGAACGTGGATAGTACAGATCTGTAGGTAACTTGGAATGATCATTTTGATTAACAAAGTTTCTGTTAATGATCATTTTGATTGACAAAGTTTCTGTTAATCATGGAGTATAAACTCTAAACAGTGTCTTTATAACACTTTAACTGCACCGCTCGAGCAGAACCAGAGCCACCTAACTCGATTTGTCTACCACTTTGTCTACCACTTTAGGAATTGACTCGGTTCTTGGTACAAGACCTTCGTTGGCGGTCGTGACTTTGTTCTGTTGCTTTATTATTCGAGCCTTTTTCGAACTTTCTAAACCTCCAAATTCAAATTTAGCACCTGTGCTTTGTGTTTTCCTCACCATAACCCTGGATGCACCATTTTTATTTTCCTTGTCTCTGTATTTTTCACCCTCATCATGGCTTTTATCTTTCAATGAGCTAATATCCCCAATGTTTTGTCCCATATCCTTGTCCTCTTCCTCTTCAGTTTCCTCTATCGTTTCCTTGTCTTCTTCATCGATCAGGTCTTCTACTTCCTTAGAATCTTCCTCTTCCATTTTATCTTGATCATGTCCATTCATTTCATCATACCCGCCGCCTCTTCTGACCTTGATTTTTCCAGGCTTGATCTCTTCTGCATCATCTATCAAATCTTCTGGCTTGTTTGTCCACGGCTGAAAGCCTTTTCTTCCAAGCTTTGTGGTTTCATGCTGGAACTGCAACCAGCAACTAAAACAAAAATTTGAAGACTATTCTTTACCTTAAAGCCTTTGGTTCTCAGGTTTCTGCCGGTAAATTGCTTCAACATAGTTTACACCTAAAATTCTCTTTCAACTTTGGCCAGCAAGCGGTAGTGGAATCTGTTTAAGAAAGATCAGAACCAAATTGAAGTTGAATCAATCTATTTAATATATGCTTGTAAATAATGTAGCTTGCTATAGATTTTGTATGTTATATATTGATATTCGATATATTGGTTGATATTGATGATGGTTGATTATCTTCAGCAAAGTAGCTTTAGTTAATGTCATGAGTCTCATCTATGACAGCCTTATGTAAATTGATTTATTAAAAATCTTAGAATTTCTTATAATTGTGGCTTGTTTATTGATTTCCATTATTCTTCTTGATTGCTTTGTTAGATGAGCAAGGAATTTGAAAATCTTTTACTGGTGCAACATTGGTTTGAATTGCGTCGAAGAGCACTAGCTCTTCTTGCTTGTGTCCTTGTAAAAATATGTGCAAGTGACATGTGTTCGAAAAAAATAAGTTACAGTTTAAGTGGCAAGAGAGAAATGGTACGTGATGAAATAATGAGCCGAATTAGTGATTGTCCCTCTAGTCGAAATATCATTAGAATGACTCCTAGAACTTTTTTAGAATTATGTGGTATGTTAGAAAGAGAGGCTGGTCCTACAACCCACGCGATGGTCAAGTGTGGAAGAAATAGTTGCAAAAACTCTATATATATTGACACATAACGCAAAAAATCGTGAAGTGAATTTTTGGTTTAGGCGTTTCGGTGAGACAATTAGTCACCATTTTCATCAAGTTTTGACAGCTATCATTGACTTATAAGAAAAATTTCTTATTCAACCTAATGGCTCAACCATCCTTTCTAAAATTGAAAAAGATAAGAAATTCTTCCCGTATTTTAAGGATTGTGTTGGTGCTATTGATGGAACACATATACAAGTCAAGGTGCCTTCTTTAGATGCTCCTAGATACTGTAGGAGGAAGGAATTTCTGACACAGAATGTGTTAGCAACATGTACCTTTGATCTAAAGTTCACTTATGTGCTCCCTAGATGGGAAGGTAC